TTTGAGAATAATGAGGGCAATGAATGTACAAATGTGCTTTACACAATTGATGTATGTATGGATTGTGATAAGAGTCGTATGAGCCCTAATAAAATGATTTAAAAAGTAGAAAATTATAATTACTATCAAATGTTTTAACTTGAAGTGATCTAGTTATCAGTATGTCTTGCTTACCATTATCGCCATTTATTCTTATTTCATATTCTCTGTAGAGTTTTACTATGTTTTTTCTAATGTCCTCCATGTAGAGCCGCTCTGGTGGCATATCCCCCTCCATGTTTTTGTGACGGCTAAATATTCCAAGCCCAATATCTGTCCAGTTTTCCTGTAAGCATTTAATAATCCTGAGCGAGTCATATTTTGACACTAGAGTATCCCCAGTAAACTTCTCCTTTTCCTCATTCAGCATCTAGAAAATGAAAGTGGGAGAGGTGGAAGTAACACATTACTAATTATTTCATCAAAGTTTATCCAGGTTTTCATTTCCCAGTGACTTCCAATTATTTTGGAGTTGTTAGTCCCATTATTATTTCTTCATGCTGTTTTTTTTAATCAAAGAACCGAAATGTGACATATATTTTATTTTTAAAATTAAAATAATTTTAAATAAATTTTCATACCCTAGATAACCCAAGGTTTGCCAAGAGAAAAATCATTATACTGAATTCTAACTAGCTAAAAAAATTTATAATATACAAGCCCTGGAGACCTAAGCACATTAAATTACTACTTGCTTTAGTAAGAACATGCTAGGGTATAATATAACTCTTTATATGATCTCCACTATACTGGAAAAAAATCCTGGAAAATACAAGTTATATCTTATTCTTCTGTCCAAACAAATTCAGGTCCTATAAGTGACATATCAATAAAGTTTTTGGTAAAAAACAAAGTATCATTTCATAGACAGTTTACCATGACTTGTGACTTAGAAAACAGAAAGAAAACATCCAGCCTTCAATAAGAGTAAGCACTACACTCAGAGCAGAAATCAAGAGTGAAGATTTTGGTGTTGGAGGGACCTGGATTCAAATTCTGACTTAGCATCTTATCGTTGATTCGTAACTTAGACAAGTTACTTAATACTTAAACATCATATAGTTACAGCAAAGATTGAGTAAGATAATTTCTGGAAAACGCTTTTAGTTCCAGATAATGAAGAAATACTTAGTAAATGAGAATTATTATTAGAATGGATAATGAAGAAACATGACTTTTTCCAATTTTATCTATGCAATGTTAAAATTGCTAGCTAAACGGTGTTTTTTTTAAAGTTCAATAAATGAGACATTTTGTATCTAGCACAACAAACATCTCCAATTCTGAGAATACTTTACTGTAGTCATTTCACAAGAAAAAAAATGGCTTCCTAGGATCTGGATGGAATTTCATTAGACCAGGGGCTTGATACTAAGTTTGGAGATATTTCAATGTCTTAGATATTTATTGTCTTTTGTCTGACTATGACATCATGATAATAATAATTTGATCAATGAAATATACTTTAAAATCTCAAACCTTTTTAAAAAGATGCTATTTATTTTAAAAGTCCATTTTGTTCTTAAACCAAGAGCCAGATACATACTCTTCCAGCCAGATACCTACTCCCAAATGTGACTTATGCCTGGTAATCAGCCAGATACCTACTCCCAGATGTGACTTATGCCTGGTAATCAGCCAGATACCTACTCCCAGATGTGACTTATGCCTGGTAATCAGCCAGATACCTACTCCCAGATGTGACTAATGCCTGGTAATCAGGTGAAATATGCAGAGCTGCCCTCACTGGTCCCCAAGACTTCTCAATTTTTATCTGACAGCCTAACTTTACTTGATCTCAAAATCTGAAAGAAAACTAAAAAATATGTGAGTATATTTTAAAATGCTTTATAATTTTATTTTCCTTCTCTTTCATAAAACTTAATATGGCATCTTAAAAGGATGAGAACCAACTCAGTTGCAGGTGAAAAGTACCAAGTTGTTGGTTTTAGCTGTTGAGCTGGCTCCACCAGCTCCTGCAACATTACGTTTATCGACCTCTCACAACCTTGATGGCCACTGGGGTATTTGAGCCCACTGTTGTGGCTATTGGGTCAGTCCATCACAGTTACTGATCATCAAGCTGCCCATTAGAAAATCTTACCTTTAGCCATAGCTTAAAGTCTGTGTTCATTGAATGCAATACAGGTCCCTGAAGAAGAGATAATGTGTCCTTTTCACTGAGAGAAAATAGCAAAAGAAGGATTCAGAATGAGTTATAAACAAAGAAAATCTTGAGTCTATACAATATATAGCAATATTATGTTCTCCACCCCTTCCCCTGCCTACCTTATGATTTTCAAGGACCTTCCCCATGGACCTTCAGCTATACATTTACAATTACAAGTATAAACTTAGATCCTTATTGCCTCTGAGCAAACAAGTTACAGAATCATGTGTCCCAACAGTCCTAAAAGGGTGGTCTCTTGGTATTTAGAGTTCAAAATTAGATCATCATAATCTAATTATGGAAGGCAGCTGCCATAACAGTATGTAAATAGGACAGAAGTCTAATAAGTAATTAAGGCTCAAAATTTAGGTCAGTAACTCCAACTTCGGAGCCCTGGTGGCATGCTGCTATTTGCAAGGTCAGTAGTTGGAACCCATCAGCCACTTCTCAGGAGAAAGATGAGGGTTTCTATTCCCATAAAGAGTTACAGGGGGAAGTTCTACCCTGTCCTATTGGGTCCTTATGGGTCAGAATTGGCTCAATGGCATTGAGTTTTTGGTTTAACCCCAACTTCTAATAAGAAGGAGTTGGATTTCTCTGAAGTCTCACAAGCACAGAGACTTTGCTAGAGAAGTTTCTGGAGACAAAAACAGAACCACTGCCAACTGCGCCTCCTCCTTGCTAAGAAGCTACAAATAGCAGAAATGCGCAGGTGACAGCAGCAGCCAATTTGAAGAGAAATCCATTTTAGCTTCCACCTCTTAAAGGGTAGAAAAATTTGAAACCCCTGCTAACAATTTAAAATAGAACCTAAATATGTCTCCTCAACTAAAAACTCATCTTAAAATTTAAAGAAAGCTTAGAAAGTACTTAATCCAGCCTTCATCTACAGTCTAAATCAAACCAAATCAAACACACAGCCATCAAGCCCATTCTGACCATAGCAACCCTACAGGACAATGTAGACCGCTTCTCAGGGTTTCCAAGGCTAGAAGTCTTCACAAAGGTAGCCAACTTCATTTTTCCCCATGTAGCTCAAAATACGGACCTCAGGAGCCCAATGGGTAGGGTAGCCCACTATGCCACCAGGGTTCCTATCCAAAGTATACTTACCCTAACCTTTCCTGTAGTTCAGTCATCTTGCCTTAACTATGTTATAGGCAGCCTCTTCGATTGTCAGATTTTTCTAATTTTTACAAAATATGATGTTCAGTCCAAATCGGGTTTCCTGTAACTACCACCCGTTCGTGTTACTTCATTCCACGTGCACTATTCTATGGAATGTACAATGGATCAAGATATTCAAGTTTACCAAGTCTATTTTATTTTTTAGAAAGAAAAAGAGTTAGATTAAGTGAGCAGCAGGATCACGATAGGCTACCGACAACCTCATAATCCTAGCAGGACTGAGAGCTTAAGGGCTACCTCCAAAAAAATCAACTGTAGTTACAAGGACAAATAGGGCACAGAGGAACAGGGAAAAGGAAAGACAAAGAATTAAACTGGGTTATAAGAGATGTCATAGTCACTGGAGACTCAGTGTTGGGATTGGCCTAGACTGACCCTGCGAC